TTTTTTTTGTTTACAAAACAAATCAAAGCACTAATAAAAGCGATGACAGGCGTAAAGATGGAATTGCGCTAAATAACCTGAAAAAAAGCACAGTTTATTATCATAGAATGTAATGAGAATAAAGGGATTTGTCATCACGACCACTTCTATCAAACATAATCATTCTACAACGTACATTCTATTACAGAAAGATCCAACATAGAAAACTGAAGACAAAGTTAATTATGTACTAGAATATTTCACCCTATCAAAGCAACTTGTATAACATATAAGATCGTCTTATAGCAGTACACCACAACTATGTGGTCAATCAAAGGGCCTTAAACCTAGATATCCAACTTAACCCCGTAACTTCTGCATTAAAAAAATTTTGTATATGAAAAATCAACAACTCGGGTGACAACTAAGGCCAATAAAGTTACTGTAGAACGGAATGGTTTCGTTTGGATTTCGCGCAAACCTACACCAGGGCTGCCAGCGCTAGCCATCCCTAATTTAGCAGTGAAAGGCTAAAAAGAAGGCAGCTAGTCATCACCACCCACCGCCAACCCTTGGGCTACTCTTTTACCAACGACTAGTAGGATTGACCGTCACATTATAACGCCCCAACGGCTGAAAGGGCCAGCATGTTTGGTGGACGGGAATTCAAACCCTCGACCCGAAGATTGCTAGTCGAGTGTCCTAACCACCTGTATCAGAACTACATTTTGACAATGTAAACATTGTAGGTAATGGGATATCACTAAATGTTCATAAACTCACGTTATAAACTAACGAAGGGACTTATTACGTCCGAAAGACAAATAAAAATGCTAAGTAACTTACTGGTTCATGCTCGTTTACCCGCTACCAATAACAGTCCCAATTCTACTCATGCATGTTCAGTGAAGCAAGGGAAAATCCTTTTTTTTTGTTCGGAGTGTCCTTTTAGAGGAATTAGCAACACCTTGCTATTCTTTGAATGATGAATTGGTACAGCGCCTTGTAAAACCATTTACCCCTACCAATAATGTCATATTTTGATGTAATAAAATAATGTAAACAATTTTTTAATGAACTTGTTTTTATTCAAAACTCTAATGATCAAACTTAACAGTGTTATGTGTAAAGGATGTTGAATGTCCGCAAAACCTGCAAAGAAAATATATAAATTGAAATTTGCTGATTGTATTAAGTATTCAAGTCAGTACTTGATGGAAGCACCTTTGGCAGCAATTACTACTGTGAGTCTTTTTGGACAGGTCTCTACCAGCTTGGAACAATCGGATGATGTAAATTTTGCCAATTCTTCCTGTCAAAATAGCTCCAATTCTGACAGGTTGGTTGGGGTTCGTTGATGGACTGCAATCTTGAAGTCTCACCATAAATGTTCTATTGGATTCAAGTCAGGACTTTGACTGGGCCACTCCAGGACATCCACTTTCTTCTTTTGAAACTACTCCAGTGTGGCTTTGGTCTTGTGATTTGGGTCATTGTCCTGCTGAAATGTGAATTTTCGACCCAGTTTTAGATTCTTGGCTGACTCGAGCAGGTTTTCCTCTAGGATTCGCCTGTACTTTGCACCATCCATCTTCCCCTCAATCTTGACAAGCTTCCCAGTCCCTGTTGATGAGAAGCATCCCCATAACATGATGCTGCCACCACCATGTTTGACAGTTGGGATGGTGTTGACTGGGTGATGTGCTGTGTTGGGCTCGTGTCAAACGTAACGTTTTAAATTTAGACCAAAAAGCTCAATTTTTGTCTCGTCTAAAATAAGAATTAATGCGATTATATTATATATATATACTTGTTTTATTTTACACACGATAAACAGTTTATACTATGAGTAAAAACCACATAATACGATTCAGTTCTTTAATTTGAGTTTAAACGAATACAAAAGTACAGGGAGGAATTTACCAAGTTGAAATATATTTATTGTAATAATAGTAATAATCTGATCTTATCAGCCGTTTCAGTTTTAGACAATTAATTTTACAAAACCTTGCATTATCCATGGCAAACAACAATACTAGAAAAATACCAAAATATGTCAGAAATCATCCTATAACATTAAAGTAGTCGATTCATCTAGAGTCAATAAAATACTAAACCAAAATGTTAGTAGTGATGCTCACATTAAGTGTTTCTAAATAGTTTGTTTAACGTACAAAATTAACACGTTCTAAATACAGTTTTTTTATTCAAGCATAGAAACCAAACATAAAAACGCCGACAACGAGTAGACACAGCCCATTCACGTCACAAACTTGTTTCCACAGAGAAGACTCCTCCACGATCCCTGTGCTACTTTGGGCTTCCTGTTCAAGGGTCAGCCATGTTGATTTTTGATGATCCTCATTGTCCGGATTTAGACCCATTCCGCACATCAGGTTTAATGCTTTTCTCCACAGAGGGATAGCTGTAATTGTGAGTTTTGAATAAATGTCTCAGAACATGTCATTATTTATATATATTTATTTAATTTCCGATATAAAAATTCAGTTTATGGAATACTGATTACAAAACATAAACAAAAAACCAACTAAAAATTAGTACAAACTAAAAATAAAACTTAGTACCCAATTTAGTTAAGCATAATTGGCTAACAGTTCTTGCTTAGCGCAAAACTACACATCGGGGAATCGAACTCCGGATTCTAGTGTTTTAAATTTGTAAACCGTTGACGGTTAGCTGTATAGCATTAGGGTATCTCAACCACTCTTCAATGTACATGTCGCGAGAGTACAAGGTCATTGAATTTAGGCCTTGATTGATAATGTGGTTGCAAAAGGTGAATTATTCATACATATAATACAAGGGTGGGTTTGCTTTGAATAAACGCAAAGCTACACAATAAGCTATCTGTACCCTACTATGGTACAGATAGTACCATAGTAGGTACTATGTACCCTACTCACTGCGAGTGTGGAAACCTGATTTTTACCATTTTAAGCCTTCAGATTTATCAAGGAGCCAATGTGACAAATATATTTAACTTTGAAACACCACACATACATTATATATATATATATATATATGCAGATTTTGTTAAACAA